TAAGCTCTACACCGGTCATAAATACATGTAGCCCACAAGCATTGGCGTGTAGTATTATTATTGGTTTCACAGCCTGCTTTACAGCAAAGGCGTTCAGCTAACTCGGATTCTCAATGGAGAGGTCCACATTAAACAAGCCTAAACAACTACAGGATTAGCATTCTCATGTAGTTTGGACTTGGGGCTGTCTTTGCATGGTTTTAACTTTTACGTGGATTGGGCAAAATAAGCAGATGCGCTGATCCACATTTTGGTTGTCATTATGGCTTACGTCATCAAGCTGCCATGCAAATACCTTGGCAGCACTGCCAACAAAGCCCTGCTGCAATATTTAATTGCCCTTCGCTGCAATTTGTTTTATCCAAAAACTTACCCCCTTTCAATTTTGGGAGAATGACGGTTCAGCGTAGGGTTAGAATTTTTAAGCCCAAAGTGCAGTTGGGATAGGTGTTAGTTCGGAATTGATGTCAATTCATGGATGAACATTATTGTATAGAGTGTAATTTTTGACATTTTAAATGTTTATAAGTCTAGTAGAATTTAGAAATCTGCACCGGGCCTGTCCATACTTTTTAGTTCATTTTTTTTTAGTTTCTCAACATCTTTTCTGTTGGGATAGAGTATGATGCATGAGGTCCATTGCCACAAAATCAAATAACTGTTCAACCTAAAAACTTAAGTTTGGTGAAATATCTGAATAGATTTTTTTTTCTTAGGGGGTATTCTATTTTTTTTTTTGAATTTTGATTCCCATTAACCAAGAAACTCGTGTTCTTTTCAAATTTATGTGAAGACTAAAGGAACTTTATTTTTCTTGATAATAATTCTCCCACAGGAAAATTTGTCAAAACTTGAATGGGACAAAAATGATCATTTCAATAATAGATTTTCATCGCTAAAATGGTCATTACCTTATTTACCTGGGAAATAAAGGAACATGGATAAAGAAACACTTACCTGGATAAATAACTTACCAAAAACGATCGGAGCCTTAAAAAGTGTCAAATGACCATCTCAACTACGGATTTGAATCTAATCTTAGAGCTGCATTATATGAACTAAAAAAAATGACTCTTCTGAAAAGCCTTTGAAGAATTTCATTTAACAACAATGAGATTTACATCATTCCTTTCATTACAAACTGTGTTCACACAACATTTTGGGACAGTAGAAAGCCACATTTTAAATTATATATGAGAAGCTGCTTTTTGGGCAGAATATCAGCCAATGAACCAGGTACTTGTCAAAAAATGCTTCGAATTCAGTAATTATTGGTGTATGATAAAGTTTTTGAGGATGAAATAATCACTGCAATGCTCTTTGGCAATTAGTTTAAGCAAGTCATTAAATGGTTTATGTATATATAGCCTAAGAGCTTGTTCGATTGTTGGTAATTTTGTTCCTAACAAATCCCTTCTCTGAACACATTAGATTCCAGCCCAAACAACATGGTTTGATTATGTAAGCATGACATGGCAGTTACATCGGTGGATTTCACACACCAATAAAGCTCTGATGATGTTTCTTTTGCTCAACAACAGTCGGTGAATGGTACAGGTACCTGTGAATGACCCCACTGTCAATGCTTATACAGTCCAAAAAATAAAAACATTATACAAATGTATTATGGTTTTTCTCAAAAAAAAATGATATATTTTCTCAATCATATCACAATTTTTAAAATCATGAAAGAATAGCAATTAGGCACAGCAAATAAATAAAGTTACTAAACTGCCCATCAGTGTGTGTGTTTCGGTGCTATGCACCATTAATAACTTCCCTCTTACCCCTTTTTTCAAAGTGCARGTTGCGGGATTTGATTCTGCATTAACGCTGGAATAAACCATCTAACACACCAACAAGCCAGTCCTCGGTTGGTTATCTGAGATTCTATATAATGATATCAACAAATGTCAAAATGATGAAAATCTATATCTACCTATAAAAGAGCGAATGCCCTTTTTTTCTGCAATTTTCATCAGACGTTTTCTATTCCCCTTGTCTAAACATACAATGGGCATGAAGAGGGCATATATGTCCTATACTCTTATTTTAGAAACTGTCCACTTATAATTGTTCRGAAACTTGCCACTTATAATTGTTCAGAAAATGTTCATGAATTATAAATAGTTTTGTCATAGAGATACTACCATGTGAAAATGCACATATACGTTTACTAGTAATTATTCTAAAGTAGGAATTGTTTCTTAAGGCAATGATGAACCAATCAATTCTTAAGGTGCTTTTAAGATGAAACCTATTGAAAGAACCAATCAATTCTTAATGTGAAGTGTGAGAGATAGTATTTTAGAAAAAGAGAAAACCTATGATGCCAGAAAGATATGATATCTGAATGGCTTTGACCAATGACAACCCTCGTGAATTTGGATGAAAAACACTTGATTGGTTCCTATTTGTATTATGTTAGTTGATTGGTTGTTAGTTTTCTCATATCATATCTTTTGGCTTCATAGTCCAACCCATTTAATAGAATATTCATAAAATCAACTAAGAAGGTATTTGGTAGTCAATCTTCAAAGGCATTTCCACCTCCATGTGAACATTTCCCTCACTTATTTGTTTGAACATTTTCAAAACATTTCAAGCAACATTGTATGCCATGGTTTCAGTGAGAAAAACTTTTGGAGAGAAACAATGTTTTCACCTTTTGCCTGTGTGGTGCCTAATTGGCACCAAATAACAATATAAAATATGCAAAGGAAGTTGTTTTACAAATTCCACGTGACCAAAGTGTGTCTCTTATTTTGAGAAAATGGTAATGATACCAAACATCTCCTCAAGTTATCCTCACGTTAAGTTATTTGGAAAAACAAGAATAAAACTATTTTTACTAATAACAGTACAACACTTCTTTTGTGAAGTTAATTCAAGCCTTTCTCTTGATGGGAGAGTCAGAATCTCTAAAGATTGGAAACTTATTGTGTGGAAAATTCTAAAAATTGGGGTTATCAAAATTAACATTGACGCATCATGTAATTTGGAGGGTAGGTGGTCTATAGCTTGCATTGCAAGAGATCATTCAGGAGCGGTTCTTGTTTATTGATCTCAAAGTGTACTATATTGGGTAAACCAATATTAATGTTGCTAAAGCATGGGCCGCATGGGAAGCACTAAACATTGCCATCAACATTAGGGAATACTCAATTTTGGTCAAAGGAGACTCGAAGCTCATCATCGATTGCCTCGGGAAGACCGTTGCCCTGTTGTGGAGATTGAAGAATATTACTAAGGAATGCGTTTGTGTGAGCTCTCTCTTCCCTGCCGGTGTCTATTTTCGTCATTCTTTTCGAGAGGCAAACCAAGTTATTGGCTGGCTTGATTGTAACACCCTTACTAGTGAGAGTGTTAATGTTGGGTGGCTTCTGAGGGATTTGAGGTTTATTCGCTTCAGTGATCTGTGGGGATGTGCTATCCTCTGACTTGTGTAGCACATTTTGGCTTACTAAAAAAAAAGGGAAAATTCTTGATCAGTACCTTGAACTTTAGGGATTGTGTCAAGTCAATCCCCAAATTTTAAAGCATGTATGTAGTACCCCAAACTTTTAGAATGTGTCTAATAGGCCCTTGCCGTTAACAATTCATTAGTTAATTTTGAAAATATTAAAACTATCCATCAGGTGTAATCTAATTTTCTTTATCTACCACTTCCACATAAACCAATTTAAACAAAACTCCTTTCCATTTAAATCTTGATTCTAGTAAACTATGTTGTTGTTTCACCTTGATTCCAAACAATCCTATTTTCTAGCTTGTGGAATGATAGATTACTGCTTACCGACAATGAAACTGTGAGCGAGCTACAATATAATCAACAATCAATAGAACATTTTCCTTGTAAATGCTAAGATTGACATTATTTCCTCTTGCATCCTAACTGAGATAGGAAGGTTGCAACAACTATCCAAGATGGATTTTAGAAATTATAATATATAGGAATTTTTTATTAGCTACATAAAATTAAAAAAAAAATTAAAGAATATATAGGAAACCATAGCAATGGTAGTTTTAACCGTTGTCGAAACTTGGTCAGTTCCTGATACCATCGTTGGCTCGTTCAAATCTATTCTTGGCACCGTTTGTCAGTTCTCGACACTGTCGTAGCAATGGCACAACTCTTCAGTCTCAAGGTAGGAGACAATGAATAATATATTCTTTTAATGGCACATGTCATCACATGATATAGATAATTGATGGACTGTTAACGATAGAACCTATTAGATACATTCTGAAAGTTTGGGGTACTGCATAGACATGTTTTAAAGTTCGGGGATTGACTAAACACGGCCACACAATCCCTAAGGCTTCATTTGGATGCAGTGTAAATTAAGAATCGATGTAAAATTTACATTRATTTGGTTTTGTATGCATTTGGAAAGAGGATATAATTATTATTGACATAAAAGTACACTTCGATTCAGTTTTATGTGCATTTGAATGGAGTATAATTTTATGTCAACAATCGATATAAAACCTCATCAGTTCTAAAATTTTACATCGACAATCGATATAAAAACTACATTGATTTTATCAATCATAAAACTTCACACTTCCGCCCATCACTATTTTAAAAAAAAGCAACATCACTTTTTGAGTGTAAAACGTCATCAATATATTTTACACTGATTCCAAACGCAGCCTAAATTTCAGGGGTTGCACCCACGAATCAAAAGAAACGCGGCGCCCGAATCACCGGCCAAGTAGAAATTTAGAATTTGTAGAAAATCGTAACGGTAGATGCATAAAATAACTGATTAATTGCACATAATCGCCGTTCTTAATTATTATTAAATTATAATTATACAGCTAATTCAAGAAAGAAAGCGTCACAGAGAAAGAAGAGAAGAGGGAAAGATGACGGTCTTCAGGTAACAGTCGCACTCAACGTGGCAAAGCTTACGGTGAAAGTGCCATGAGAGACTCAGAGATAGCAACAGTTTTATTTTTTTCATTGAAAAAATAACTATTTTTATTTTTGGTGGTAGGGTCGGCCGGTCGGGTTATCGCCACGAGAAAATCTTCTCTTCCCGCCTTATGCTCCTCCTTGAATCTCCACAGTTTGGTCGAGAGAGAGAGAGGAGAGAGAGAGAGAGAGAGCTATGTGGAAGAGCGCTGTGAGCTCTTCGAGCTTCCCTCTCCATGGATACGCCCGATAGGAACCAGATCAGCACCCCAATTTCCAAATTCGAGGTGATTCCACGGGCTCTGGTGCTCTCAATTTCGTATCTGGTGTTGTTTTCATCTTTTCTGCACTGGTTCTTAGTGGTTTTTGAATTTCTTTTTGGTTCGGTTTGAGATCTTTACTAGCTGTTGAGCTTTTCGTTGTTACTTGGACTATGAGGAGTTGATTTAATTGTCAAAGTTTTCAGCTTGGTTATTTTAGACTGGTTTTGGGTGTTAGAGGATTAGATCTTTTGTCATTTACTACGTTCTTTTCGTTGTTTTTGATGTTGTTGTGTGATGCATTTTGAAGACTTAACTGGCTTTTTTTTCAGGTTCTTTCATGTGTTTGGGTTGATTGGCTTCAAATTGTGGTGATTTTAGGTGTGATTAGGTTTTGCTTTCCTAGTATGAGGTGATTATAGCGATGCACTGGAGTATTCTTAGTGGTACTTGATTTTTCCCATCTCCCTTTTCATGTATCGGAGCTCGAGTTCATTTTTATTTTTATGTTTTATAAATAATAATGGAAGTTGAGTCTATTTCAGTGTCAATTTGGTGTAACTAGCTCTGCTCCGGTGCTTCGGGTTCGGTATTCTCACCATTTGATCTTCATCTACTGCTTGCAAACTTTTTGAATTTGATGTTGCATTTTCCGGTGTTTTGTTTTGTTTTGTGTTTCTTTTTCTTTGGTTACTTCTTTCGACATGTCCTTGCTTTGTATTTTTTTTTTTTCTGATCTTTAGTTGGTCCAAGAGTGTCACGGGGAGATTTTTCCCTTCGAGGTTTCTGCTTATTTACGTCTGATTTTTTTTTAAACTCTTTCTATTTATTTTCTTCTTCTTCTTCTTCTTCTTCTTCTTAATCATTTATTTATGTAATTTTAGTTTGAGAATCGCTTCTGGACTTTTAAAGCTTGTGCCCTATTTTTCTCTTTGCGCTTCATCATGCTTTTTTCTTCTTTTTATTCTTTATGATGGTGATTCTTCAAACTTGGAAGGCTGTATTGAAAGAAAATTTCTGTTTACATGCAGGATTCTCCCGTCTTTAACTATATCAACAGCCTTTCTCCCATCAAACCAGTTAAATCTGTACACATTACTCAAGCATTCCACTCCCTTAATTTTGCATCTATTCCATCTATTTTTACTTCGCCACATGTCAGTTCAAACAAGGAATCAAGATTTTCAAGAAGGTAACAGATGTTTCCTAGCACATATATGCAAACAATTATCAATAACTATCTTCCATTTGATATCTTCTTTCATAATTTGTTCCTTTTGCCTTCAGGTATCACTTCGCAGATCCATCAAAGTCTGGGCTTTCGGACAACAAAAATGAAGGCAATACAAGTGCAGGTGTATCGGAGGTTGTTCAACCATCTGAGTGCTCTGCTGATCAGCAGGGATGCTTTGCTCCAGAGCACTCTATTAGGGAGGTCAATGTTGAGCCACCTACTGAGAACTTGAATTTAGCTATTGAGCTTCCGAGGACCTTGAGGTATGATTGTGGTAGCCCTGATGGTGACCTGATGCCTGGCAATGATACTAAAACCAACCCTGTGCCAGAAATGGCTGTTACACCGGTGTCACTGGTTCAATTTGTCCAAGAGGTCTCGGAAGAAAGATGCCAGTCATTTGAAACTGAAGCAGAGTTACAGGAGATGCATCAGGCTGAGCAAAATAAAGAAGAAGGGGCAGGATGTGATTGGGAAAACTTAATTTCTGATACTGCTGATCTGTTAATTTTTTATTCTTCCACTGATATGGAGGTTTCCAAGGGGCATGATCAGAACTTAGTGGATCCTGAGACTACTTCCTTCACTTCTCTTATGTCAAAGCTTCCTCAAGAAAATACCAATGATTTACATAAAACACAACCTGTTGGTCCTTTTGGTTCCCGTGAACAACACAAAATGGAGGATCCTACAGCTCAACCAAGAGAATTAGAGCAGAAGGAAACAGATCAAACAAAAAACATCCTTTCAGCTACTTTTTTAAATAAGCAAGTAGTTAGCGACCCGATTGAGAAAATGGATGACAAAGCAGGAAGCAGCATCTCATTCAGTTGCAAGGTAAATGTTGCAACTAGGTTGATTGAGCTCTGTGAATATGAGTTGCATGAATTTAGGTATCCAGGACCATGAGCACTTTGATTTTGCACCATAATGCTTTCTCCATTCTTATTTTTATTTGTACTGGGGTTCGATGATATTTCTTTCAGTTCATGCAATAATTCTTGTCTGTTATTGGTGTTTGTGAATTATCTTAAATTGAATTGACATGTCACATGTCTAATTTTTAGGACAATCCTTCTTTTATGATGCTGTAAGAAAACAATTAAGTCCTCACAATTTTACAATACTACAATAGATATGGCACTAAACAGAATGTAATGGTGAAACAGTGAAACAGGATTCATGTAACCAACCTCATATCGTTGGGATAAGGCTTAGATGGTGATGATAATCCTTCTTTTATGTTGCTGTGTTCAGTTTCTTATATCATCCATTTTTTCCGGTGTGTTTTCTTTTTTGTCCACAATGTAATTTACCAGCGGAAATGGGGTCTCCAAGAAGACAGTGGCAGAGGCAATTGGAATTGTCAGAGTTATTTTGTATATGTATGGACTAAAGATCAAGCAGAAATACCTATATTCCTACAGTGATCTCACAAAGACTGTATGGGTGCATAACTATGATAAACTACAAAAGGCTCAATCAAAATAAGAATATTTAGATTCATTTGAATGAACTCAGTTCATCCTGTTCTTCCAACTATAGAGAATAAGATGTATGGTAAAATTCCTTCATGCATTTTGTTCTTGTAGGCACGTCTATTGAGTCCAATGCTTGTATCTGTATACAAGTAGGAGGACATATGAAGGCAGATTTGCACTCTGCCATAGTTGTCAAGGCGTCTAGGTGACAGTGGGGTACCTAGTTGCCCAAGTGATAGGAATTTCATAAAGTAAAAAAAAATAAAAATTTCCCTTGTTCCCTAGTTTTATATATCATTCAGCATGCATATGATTGAAAAATAGTAGGCACCTGGTTGCCTAGGCAATGCCTTGACAACTATGCACTCTGTATTGATGTGTTTTGTTTGTTCAGAGAAATAGTAATTTGGAACTCAATTTATGGTTAAAGTGTTCTTAACTAAGGAATGCCTTCTGCTTTGGCATTAGGGCAAAATGGTATGTTCATTTTGCTTGTCTGAATAGTAGATGCCAAGAAACATGTGACACCTGGAAATTATTGCTTGTAAATCAATAATGGGAATATTAATAATACAAAAAGAGATTTACAACTATTGGTCAAACAAAAAGAGGGAAGGAGGGAGGGAGCATTCAAATAATTCATGGAAAGGAGTTTGATCTTTTCTCTACTTCCACCTTAGAGGACCTGTTTTGCTATTCTTTTATTTTACTTTTTTCAACCAAGTGATATTTAATTATGCTAAGCTTTAGGTTGTAGTTCTGGGACTTCTTGGTTTAGCATTTACTCTGATCATTAGATTATTTGTAACAAGTGTTTATCCATAGTATTTTCAATTGTACATTAAGGCATAAGTGGTTTTCTTTGTGTGCAGCCTCACCCTGCCAACCAGCGTGGCATGCGGAGGCGTTGTCTAGTTTTTGAGATTTCTGGAGCTCACAAAAAGAAATTGGCCAATGATTCTAATAGCAGTTCTTCAGTCTCACCTCAATCGGATGGAAAAAATGCATCTGATGAAAAGCAACTGGTTCCTGTTAAGCCTGGAAGTAGATCTTCACCATGTATCCTTCCTGGTATTGGTTTGCACTTGAATGCTTTGGCAACTACCTCAAAAGACTGTAGAATTGTCAAGCATGAATCTCTGCCGTCTGGACGACAACTCATAAGCATGCCAAGTTCAATTGCTTCTTTTCATTCTTTGACATCTGGTTCAAATTCTCTAAAATCTATGACTCTGAATTCTTTGGAGAAAGACACAGGTCTAGCTGATAATGAAGCACAGGCTATGCAAGATGCTTCTCAGGTGTCTGCTTTTGGAGTTAATGAAGAGTTTAATCAGACTAGCCCCAAAAAAAAGAGGCATGCATCTTTGCTTGATGGAACTCTTATTGATGTTTGTGATATTTTCTCACATTCCCCTTTTTTCCTCCCTCTTCCACATTGTGGATTTTAATTCAAGGCCACATATCATGCAGACGTAGATTAGAACATGTGGGAGAAAATGATGCTTGCAAGCGTTGCAACTGTAAGAAATCGAAATGCTTGAAGCTGTAAGTTTCTTACATATACTTTGGCTTCTGTTGAAACTCAAGTGTTTCAAATATTCTTTTCCTACTAATTTTTCACCATGAACCTTTTTACAATTTTCTTGAATCTTGATCTGATGTTTCCAAGTAATTAAGATGTCCCATAGCATTATTGTTAGGTGTACTGCTATTTGTTAGGGTTTTAAGTCTATTGTCATGGTGTCTGTTTAAATTTGGTCAAGTTTTTTGGATAACTGTCACAGAACCTTCACTCAGGTGGGCTCAGAAACATCCTCCTGTATCCCTGGCTTCTTTGAGTGAGAAATGATTTTTATTGGAAATGCAATTAAGTCTTAATGATATCACCCTTTTAAAGAATACTAAATTTGAGTGATTGAGTCATCTACGAGAGTTGGTACATTTGCACAAGGTTGCATGTTATCCATTTTTGGTGGGATATGATCAGTGTTTTAAAAGCGCAAGGCGCAAAAAAGGCGCAGGGGTCAATTTGCGCCTGAGGTGCAAGGCGCAAGGCGAGGTGTGTGCCTTTTTGAAGCAAGGTGCAAAAATACAAAAAAAAAATTTAAAAATAAAAAATGTCAGAAAATTCAAAAAAATGCCAAAAAAATAAAAAATATTAAACATAATATTAATAAATTATAAAATAAATGTTTTAAAAAACTTATTATCTAAAATTAAAATACATAAACATAAGATGTAAAGCATATTCAAATGAGAATATAAAAATAAAATCAAACATATAAAACATTTTCAAGCATGTAAAACCTCTAATCTCTTTTTTCACTCAATTGCATTACTTCAAGTAGCTAATATAATGTAAAACTTATTACATTCCTGATTCTATGAGCCACCTTTGTGCCACGCCCCTCGAGGGGTGCCTACTAAACACATGATTTCCATCTATGGCTATTATTTCTTGATAAATCTTATTTAATGTTTGACGTAATCCTGTTTTTTCTTCCTTTTGTGGTTTAATTAAAAAGGAATCCATTTAAAAGCCTCTTCTGGAGATCTTGAGCTTTTTTCTAAAAGTCCAGATAAAATAGTGCAGAGAGCTGTGGCCTGTGGTCAAGTTATTGTCTTGGGTGTCAGTGATGGAGGAATTTAAACATCAGAATTTGCGTCTGTTGTTTTGTTCTCAGTCTTGGATGAGATTGTAGTCTGAGGTGGTCCCAGGCAGCCTTTAATGGCCTGGGCTCTATTGGAATGTTTCTTTGGATGAATATATTACCTTACCTTTTACAAAAAAAAAAAAATTCCCTCTTTGCTTCCCAAAACATAATATTGCCAATTCTATTGGAACTGGAAATATAAAGTAGATCCTAAGAGACATGTGCTCAACTGTGGGTGGCCTAGATCCTATGTGGGAAGGGTTCTTTTATATAGTGAAAACTCTATTAGAAACTATTCTTTTTCCTTTCTGGTGTGTGTATGATGAATTGGGACTGTATATTTTTGTAGCTTTTATGAAGAAAATAATGATTACATTCTTTCTTTCTCTAGGAGGTTTTTTATCTGCATGTAATTTGAATTATTTTTTTCTGGGATTTGGCATGCTTAGTAGACTACCTTTTTAGTTTAATGCTCCTCTTTTCATAGTAAATTTATCTTTTTATTACGATGATACAAAAACAAGATCCCATGTGTTCTTTTTTCCATAGTAAAAGTTATATTCATGTTTCAAAGAAAAACTCCTTGGATCCTATGATATTATATTGCAAATCGCACAATTTTCAGATCCAGTTTGAATTGGATCATACATGAGCAATATTATAAATCATCTTCTGTTTTGTTTGTTTATATGTATGTAAGCAATTCTACTCGGTAAGTTCATAATTATCTGGTTTGATGTTTCAAGTTGATTGACCTTTGATTGTCACTTTTCATTATGGCATGAAATTTCATGTTAGAAAGTACTTAGAATTTAGGTTTCATTCTTCACTAGAATGCCCTCATGGTTTTAACATTCAAATTTTCTCATGTAGTTATTGTGAGTGCTTTGCTGCTGGTGTCTACTGCATAGAGCCTTGTTCATGTCAAGAATGCTTTAACAAACCTATTCATGAGGATACTGTTCTGGCAACTCGCAAACAGATTGAATCTCGAAATCCCCTAGCATTTGCTCCTAAAGTGATTAGGAGCTCCGAGTCTATTCCAGAAACTGGGGTTGGAAAATTAATCTGAACTCTTTTATTTACCCAAGAGTTTGGAATTGATGTTAAAAGTGTTGTGCTTTTTCTCTTCTCCTGCAGGAAGATTTAAACAAAACTCCAGCTTCTGCCCGACATAAAAGAGGATGCAACTGCAAGAAGTCAAGTTGTTTAAAGAAATATTGCGAATGCTATCAGGTTTTGCTTCTTGTGGCTCATGGCTCATCTTATATGCTTCTCAGTCTTTTATAACTTCTGATTTGGTGGTTTGCCTTTAAAGGGTGGCGTTGGATGCTCAATTAACTGCAGATGTGATGGATGTAAAAATGCCTTTGGAAGGAAGGATGGTGAGTGTTTATTTGATGATTTCAAGTCAATTAAGATCTTAACACACTTGGAAATTATTATTATTATTATTATTGTTGTTGTTGTTGTTGTTGTTATTATTATTATGTTTTTTCGTTTTGGTTATTTTAATAAAGTAGGCGATTAGTTGAACATTAGTTTTTTTACTCCAAAATCTTGATTTATATTCTTTTCTATCAAATATAGGCTTCTTCCATATTTGTGAAGTTAATTTATTAGGTTGATAATTGTTATGTTAACTGTTCTATTCTGTTTCTTTCCCATTTACTTCTTACAGTGAATTCAGTTATTGTTTATTTAAATATTTATTGTTTCTTTTATGCAGGATTTGCTTCAATGGGAATGGAAGAAGCTGAACCAGAGGAGGAAGAAAAAGAAACTTGTGAAAAGAATGGAGTGGATATAGGCGTCCATAATAATGAGATTCTGAAGAACGAGGAGCAATATTCAGATTCTGTGTTGCCTATAACTCCATCCTTCCAGATGTGCAGGTTTGACATTCTAAAAGTTGTTGGTTGGCTGATGTTATTACCATTTATTCTCAGTGTAATCTTATTGAATATTTGAATTCTATATTATACGGCAGACCATCTGAGCAACTGCCATTTGCCTCTAGTGGAAAGCCACCAAGATCTTCTGTATGTTCTATTGGGTCATCTCCTCAGCTGCATACTAGCCAAAGACTTGGCAAGCCGGATTTGCTACACCCCCAACCCAAATTTGAAAGGCATTTCCAGGTGATTCCTGAAGATGACACTCCTGAGATTCTCAAAGGCGATTGCTCACCCATCAGTGGTGTGAAGATGTCTTCTCCCAACTGCAAGAGGGTCTCACCTCCTCACCTTGGGTTGTCCCCTAATCGAAGGAGTGGACGGAAGTTGATACTGCAATCTATTCCTTCATTCCCATCTCTCACTCCTCACCATGAAAGCAACAACTTTCCATTGAAGTTCAGCTGAGGTGCTTCCTTTTATGGTGTTGGGTACGTTTTGTAGTTGTACCAGTAGTCTAGTTTTTTAGGGTACCTGTATAATAAATATTATATTTTTTCCAAAGTTTTGTAATATTATCCAACCATTTCTGTAATAGTGTAATTTATCCTTTTACTATATTTAAAATCTAGTTTCCTTTAATATATTGAATTATTTAATTATGTGCTGTCGGATGCCAAGTTTGTTAGTCATTGCCCAGAGCTTTTTATACTTTTTTTTTTTTTGTGGATGCATAGTGTTAGAGTGAATAAGTTTTTATTCTCTCACATCCCTTCACGTGAAATTCCACTGGGCTTGAAGCTTGGATAATCACAAGCCCATCCATACCTTATGCTGAATTTTAATTAATTATTAATGGGGCAATGTGATTTGAACACTAAACCAGTTGGTTAAACTGGTTCTGATATCATCCCAAGGAACTGTTCAACCTAAAAGCATAGAGGTTCTGAATTAGTTTTTTTTTTTTTTTTTTGCCTCTTTAACACATAGTATGATGTAGTGTCATTGGATAATTCTAGTTATCTCATACGTAGTATCAGCCTCATGATTCCTCATATTTGAACTGTTTCAGTATTTCTCAAAGGTATTGATGGTTTACTGAAATAGTGAAATGGGTCAAGACTTTTGGAATCTTATTTCTTTGATATTTACAGAGATGATGATGAATAACTTGAAGGGTTGAAGGCGGGAATTCCCTCATGAGTCTTTCAGAAGAAAGTGAGTTTTTCGTTTACTTGGGGAATAATGGACAGGAGCCTTTATTTATGGTTAAGTCTCGGCTGGCAAGCCCACAAATAGCTCGGGCCAACATTGAGTAATGAGCCTTGCCTGACAGAACCAGGTTAACATATGGGATCAACACCTCAAGAAAAAATATTCAGCCAGATRTATGTTTTCTGAGGCTTTTTTTTTGGGAAAATTCCTGATAGGTATATGTATTTTAGGCCGTGTGCCAATTTAGTATCTGAACTTTAAAATGTAACAATCTACTTCATTTTATGACAATCTAGTACCTACTGTTAGTTATTTAAGGCTTTTAAAAATATCACGTGCCCTCTTGTGTTATTTAAGGCTTTTAAAAATATCAAAATTACCCTTACACACTGCTAATTTTCTTTCTCAATAAAATGAAACAGAATTCAAACACACTGAAATCTACAGAAACCTTCATTAACAGGAAACATAAATTTTAAAAAAATTAAGACCAAATGTCAAATCAACTGGATCCAGATTACTGAATCAACTAACAAATAATATCTGTAGCCTGTGACGAATCACGGAAAAAATTTAAGGAAAGAAGTTGTAAAGCTAAGAAGGTGAAGAGACTAACTTGCGCCTGGGAGAGACCAGAGGGGCACGTTAGCAGGAGCATGTATGAGGAATGATGGACCTCAGTCCTCGCATCAGCCTCCGATTTCTCCATTAAAAAAAGCGCGTTTGTAAAGCAACAGGTTGATGAATTGAGATCCGGGTGCAACGACAGTCGACAGAGAAGTTTCACTTTCAGTTTCAGCGACCCGTTCGATTCTACACCAGTAGTACACCGTGTCCGTCAATCCGTCTGTCCGTGGAAAATAACCAATGTATTGAAACCCGAGCGGAGGCTGATGTGAGGACATTCAGTTTCACCAGTATTGAAACCCTTCGTTCGAACAGAGTTGCAGCGGCGACGACACCCCTCTCAGTCCGATCTCTTCCCCTTCTCTCCTCTTCTCAGCACTCCATTTCAGCAACAACCCATCACTGCCACCACCATAGCTGCCGGAGTCGTCAGGGAGCTGTATCCAGAGGGCCCGAGTAAAGCACAGCTGATAGCTCTGTAGCAAGCTGTCGAACTCAGCCCACCATTTCAGCAACAACCCATCACCGTGGGGAGCGCTATGCACCACTACTGTTTGAGAGCTTGAAGAGGATGAACAGTGACGAAAAACCGGGAAGCTTACACAGTTGTTGCTGATGGTTGATAAAGAAAATTTGATGACATTTGCGCATTTGTTTCATTTCCCATAACACTTAACGCTGATTAACAATAGATACTAAATTGTCACTTGGGTACTAAATTGTGCATAAAGTTAGTGTACTAAGTTGGTAGTCAGCCTAAAGAACAGGGTACTCATTGGGAATTTTTCCTTTTTTTTTGGATGTGTAGGGGTGCAAATTGGTAGGGTGAGTCAGATTTTAGTTCAACCCAGGTTCAACCCTAAGAATTGGATCTAAAGCCTGAGTTTGAGATTAGGCCGGGCTGTATGTGTGTGTTAAACCTCTTCATGGACTAGACTTGGGCTTGACTTTTGTCAAAATTTGAATAGGCCCAGTTTGAAACCCGAGCCTAAAACAATGCAAAGCTGGTCCCAAAGCCTGGCCCGTGAGCAGGTCTAGTATGTGTATGCATGTATGCTTATATGTATAGTTTATTAAAAAATATGCATATATGCATGCATGCATTCAAAATCGTACCGGACCAGACAATCGGATTGGAGAAATCGGGAACCGGTCAGTTTTACCCTAGAATTGCTATTTCATCAAAAACCGTTGATTTGGTTAGTAAACCATTGACCTGGGCGGTCAAACTTTTTGAACCATCCAATGGTTTTGGCTGTTTTTATTATTATTATTTTTTTATTTTTTTATTTTTTGTCAGAACAGGCTGTCCGTTCTGTTCAAATGGTCAGACTGTTTGACCAAGGAACCGGACCCTGACCGTTTCATTATTTGATTTGGTTTTAAAAACCTTGTATAAAGATATACATGTATATAATCGGACTAGGCTTGGGTTGGGATAAGGTTGGGCCAGGCTCGTACTGGGCTTGGGTTGGGTTTGGGCTTCCTAAGGGCTAGGCCCAAGCCTGAGAATAAAAAATTTAACCTCAGCCTTTGTGAAATTGCAGACTGGATCGGTCTGGGCTTGGGTTGGGCCTGCCCAAGTTGCACCCCTAGATGCGCGGTTATGTAGTTTGGCTCCTTAGCCTTAGGCGCAAGGTGCTGGTTGGGTTAGGACTTTAGATAATAGATACATGGTCATTGGTATGTTTCCTGAGGCGACTATGGCCTCGTCAATGGCATCCATTATTTGGAGTATTATTAAACAAGGTTCAAAGTATCGATACGTATCGTTCTGGGACCCCTCCGATATATCCCTATAGTGGGTGTATCAGGGGGTCTGATTGGTTCAGGGGGTGGAGGAGCCCTAAACTGACCCCCTTGAACCAATTGCGAAAAAAATTAATAAAAAAAAAGCATCAAAAGCTGTATTGATTCATCCAATACGCCCATACCGGCATATTGATATTTTGAACCTTGATTAAACATAAGGTTCAAAATATCTATACAGCCTGATACACCAGTAGGGGCATTTTGGACTGTATCGGGGCTCACTCCTCTCTTTTTTGGTTTTTTTAAAACCTGGTTCAGAGGGATCGTTTAATGCTTGTCTACCCCCTGAACTGGGTTAAACCCTGAAACACCCCCTATAGGTAAGGGTGTCAATGGACCAGTTTTGGATTGGACCCCATCTAGTCCAAAATCAATTTGGACGATGGATTGGATGAACCAACAAGACATATTGGATTGGACCAATCCAGTCCAAAATATTTATTAGATTGTATTGGACCTTGTCCGTCCGTAACAAATTTATATTAGGTTGAGTTGGATTAATTCAATATCTGGTCCATTGATTTAAGATAAGAATATATGTGTCAATGGGCTGGGTTTTGGTTGAAACCAATCTAAACCAAAATGAATATGAACAGATTGAACGATCCAGACATTGAATTGGACTGGTCCAAATTGGTCCAAAACATTTATTAAATTGGATTAGACCTGATCCATTTATAATAGACTCACATTGGACTGGATTGGATTGGACCAAATCCAGTCCAATTGACACCCCTACCTGTAAGGGCGTATTGGGAAGCCTCGGATATGATACACATAGGCCGATCTGACCCAATACATATCAAAATTGTGAACCTTAAATTTTAAACAGAGAAATGTGTGAGGGATATAACGGGTTTTGGCTTGACAAATGTGATGTGGATAAGGTTCTCGTAGAAATCATCCTTCAAAATCATTGGCAAGTATTGTCATGACATCCAAGGTAGGGGGAGGGGGATCTTTTAATCTGGTGGAAACCTGCAGTAGATACTCGATAGTTCTCAGCAGATCTGACATTCGGGCCAGATTGGCAATTTGGTAAAGGCTGATAAATTAGGATTAGGGTCAATCATGGGTTGAAAACATTGGTTTGGAAAAAGGGTGATGCCACCCTATGATCCAAACAGTCTAATTTGTTTTCGATTTCGGGCCATTAGATAGGAGACCCTAATCCGATTTTTTGGGTGGGTTAGCGAGTCGGGTTTTGGACTTTTTGCCACGTCTAAATCTCAGTCAAAGACTCAAAACAACGGCTGAAATGGTAGGGAGCCGAACGAATCAGTCAATGAAGTATACTTGTTGTTCGTTCAAAATGTGGCATTCTGTATGCCCTCCAAAGATCACTTGTTTGCTTTTAGTTGTCATTCCGCAACAGCACAGTCAAAAAAGTGGCCTCATTAATATTATCTCATAAACGGGATCCAGTGACAACCAACAAATCCCTACTAATTGACTGATGCTTCAAGAGTGGGGGTGTCAATGGACCGGTTTTAGATTAGACTTCATTTAAATCAAAATCAATTTTGACATATTAGATGGACCAATAAGAYATATTGAATTGGACCATTCTAGACTTAATGAGTTAATGGTTCAAAGTATTTATTGAAGATTGGACCTGATCCATCTGTAATAAATTTATATTGGATTGGATTGAGCCAATATTTAATCCATTGATAGAAGATAAGAAGGACCAGGTTTAGATAAAAATAATCTAAATTAAAATAAATCTGAACAGATTGGATGGTCCAAAATATTCATTGAATTGGATTGAACATGATCCATTTGTAATGGACTCATTTGAGAGGGTTTCTGAGGCATTCTGGGCTAGGTCCCACATGAGAACACTATAAATTATGTTTGCTGAAAATCCGGAAAGCATGCCATTGCGTTTTGGACACGAGAAATGTGACTATAATATAAAACTATTCTAAATAGATTGAACACAGGTGCTCAACCATCATCGCAATTCACTTGTGACATAGAAGCTATGTCAAACGGGCTTTAAAACGTCATAAAAGTGCTTTGAGTTGGAAGGACAACGTATATTTGGTCATGGTTCATGGAACATGGATCTGCATATACAGCAAAGGTGATTCGTGTGCAGTGAAAAGGTCCAGAAGAGGGGTGCATTCAGATGAAATTGAGTTTCAAAATGGTTGTAACAAGTTGTGAGTGGGTGTTTGAAAATGGTTTTATAAATATAACCAATCATCTCATTCTCAGCTCGTGGTGAAGAAGGCTGAATTTCAAATCCTTCTGGCTATTAATTGGGAATAGTAGGTATGATTTAATGGGCTTTAATATTTGTTGGATCAAAGTATGGACCAGTTTCCTTCCTTGTGCCATTGATAATCATGAATATCAGGAGCAGTGGAGCAGTGGAGCACTGAAGCATGATTAATTAACATCTTTTCATTCTTGACTTTCAATAGACTTGCATGACTTTGTTAACCATCTTTGCCTGCTCATCCTATCCGTCGACTGTAGTTCGTTACTCGGCCTCAATCTATATCTCTATGTTGACCTTAAGGCCGTGCTTGGTAGGGAAAACCATACAAACCTTGTATTAATTTTCCTACCTTTTCCTTCAAACCAAACATAGTAAAAGTAAAGGAAGGTTTTCTTTTAGTGGATTGGATTGATTATAACGAGTTGATTGCCCTAACTTACCAACCACATCATCAAGTGTTACAAAGAGGGGAAAACTAATAACATGTGAGATCTTGGCCAGCCCAAAAGCGAAAATGCGATCCGGGTCTAACATTTTATAGAGAACTGATCATCACATGTTCTCTATCCTTTGCTTTGTGGGTTTAAATAAAAGTGAGATTCAAAGTTATGGCGGGGGTGATTCTTTGGGTTGAAGTAGGAGCGCGTC